TCTCAAGTGCTGGGTTTAAAGACATACACCACCACATAAAAAAATAAAAAATAAAAAGAAGAAAAGAGAGAGAGAGAGAGAGAGAGAGAGAGAGAGAGAGAACAAATGAAAGCCATACTGTGCTGCTCACCCTGAGGGCTTCATGAGCTTAGAGAAACTTGGTGCCCGGCACGGAGAAGTACTGTCCCCCTGGTCATTTTGCTTACAGGAAGCCACATCACATCTCTGTCAATTTAGGTACTTCCTCTGCACGGGGGACTTGAGAAAATTGAACATGACTCCAGCTGAACACCCAGCACAGCCCCTGAAACAAAGGCCTTCTGCTCTAGAGGATTCTGCCCTGAACCACTGTCCCTTTGGCTCTTCAGGGACTCAGCCAGCACAAGTTAGTGATCGAGACTCGTCCGTATGTTCCATTTGGTCGTCCCTAAATTTTTTTTTATTGTTGGAGCCTGAACTTGGTGTGTGTGTGTGTGTGTGTGTGTGTGTGTGTGTCGGGGGAGGGAACACTTGAGTGTTCACTCTCACTCACAGGTTCTTTTTCTCCTCATGTGTCCCAGGTTGGCCTTGAACTCTATAAGTATATAACCGAGCATATAACCTTGAACTTCTGATCCACCTGCCTCCGCCTTTTGAGTTCTCGGATAACCTCTCCTGAGTGTTGGAATTACGAGTGAGCACCACCACACCCAGTTTTATATGTTGTTGGGGGATCTGGAAGAGAGCTTCATGCATACTAGACAAGCACTCTACCAACTGAGCCCAACATCCCCGGCCCTGGGAATGTCTCCTGATAGAAGAGGAAACCAAAGCTCCAAGAGACCAGGAGGCTTCCCTCGCTTCCACAGCCAGTCAGTCAGTGAAGACGCCAGGCAGAGCATTCTCATCCCTCCAGGTCCACAGTACCCAACGTGGTCTGGTCTAAACCTCTTCATTCCCACCCCGTGAAACTCATCTGTCAGTCAGAGATAGGTGCCCTGGCCAAGGCACCCCCCGCCCCAAGATGAGAGAACAGTCCTGTTGGAGGTGTGAGGGGAGGAGCGTGCGGGGGCCAAGAATGTAGTTACTCTGCCTAGGGGCCTGGGCTGGGCTGCCACAGAGGAGCCAGTGTGCCCAGACATTGAAGCTTTGTGAGCTAGGGCTCGTGTGGGGACAGTTGTTTTCTTGACCGGACATTGTTTCAGGCTGACTGTTAGTATTGTGGCCCCCAGAGACCAGCTCTCAGGAGCCAGTGGGGTCTGGGGGAGAACATAGTTAAGGTACCCTAGTAGGGGCAAGAAGAAGAGAGGACCCACGGGGTCCCATGAGCACCAGGCAGGTGTCTTGGGAGGTTGCCAGGGAAAAGCCAGTCTTGAGGGAAGACATGGGCAAGAGAGAGAAGATGTCTTGAGACTTGGGGCCAGAGAAGACCGGCCAGAGTGAAGAGTGGACAGAGGCAAGGCGGACATGTCCAGGGGCCAGTGCCTTCCTGCCAGAGACCTGGAAGTCTTGAGAGCTCAGTTCTCAAGCCTCAGTCCGTGAAGGCAGATGCCCAGGGATCCCCAGGGGCCAAAAGGTCCCAAAGGCCTTAGGGGCTGGCCAGGCTGGGTGGGGTGGGCCTGATGCACAGCTGTCCAGATGTGGGTGAGAGATAACTCTGTTTATGGGACACCCGGTTGGAGCAGGGCAAGGGGGTGGGGTGGAAGGGGCTCCCGGCTGTGGGGCGGGCAGATTAGGAGGCAAGGGCATGAGTCAGGGGTTTGGGAGCCTCCTCCAGGGCACCTGCCGGTGCTGTTAGAGCAGTTGGGAGCTCAGCCAGTCGCAGAGGGCACCAGTGGCGGCAGGACTTCACGAAGGACCCCCAAGGCTCCTGAGCAGGTGGGCAGGGCAGGGAGTGGTTGGGTGATCCTTTGGCATCTGTCCTGAGGGTTTGTGCAGGTGGTCAGCTTAAATCTGTGTGCAAGGGGTATGATCCCTGACCTCCAAGGGGGTGCAGGTGGGTGGGATGGTAATGTGGCCATGTGCATGTGAACCAATGCAGGACGAAGGGGCAGTTTCCATACAGAGAGGGATGTGTGGCAGACGTGCATGTTGGGAACAAAGCTGAGGCATTCCACCATAGGTCCTACCTGCTTTCTATCTACCAGCCCCATGAGCCCCACGGACTCAGGCCTCATTCCTCCCAGGCCCTTCTTTCCTCCCAATGTGGGCTATCCTCAGACCACTCCATCTCTCACCTGGGAGACCATACAACAGCCAACATGGATTCCCATATGGGACACTTCTGGGGGGCTTGGCGCTGTCCCCAGCCGAGAGCGGATTTGAAGGGAAAGAAGAAGCCCCGCTCTGCGGAGGGTTGGTAGTCTCTTAGCTCAAGCTGATTCTCTGGGAACTGGAGGCAAATTAGGGAGGGGACTAAGATCACAGGCCTGCCCTGGATGGCCGTGGCAGGTGGAGTGACAGACTGTACCAGGCACAGGCCATGTGTTCTTGGCATGGACTTGGTCTGCACAGAGGGCCTGTCAGGTAGGAATCATTCTTACCAGCTCCATTTTACAGATGCAAAAACAAAGAGCGAGCAAACAAACACACAACAACAAAAACGCAGAACTGAGGCTCAGTCGCCGTCCTGAGCCCACAGAGTTAGTAAGCGGCAGGGCCTGGGTTAAATAACCACGGGCGGTCTGACCGCGGAGTCCACGTCTTCAGTTCTAGCTCCGAATCAGCTAAGAGTTATTTTCTTCTTTGGGAGGCAGCTCAGTGCAGTGGGTAGAGAAGTTTGTGGAGATGCAGGCCAGGGTTTAATCCTGCCTCTGACACCAATGTCCCCTGCCACTGAAGTAGATGAACTCCTCTGAACCTTGGCTTTGTCAAACGGTGCCATTGACATTACTGGCTTCAGCTTAGCAGAGTGGTCTGGGGGACTGGGAGAGATGGGGCCCCACAGCTGCTTGTGAGGTGTAGGTTTGACAGTAAAAAGTAGTCTTGTGCCACCAGGGGAGCTGTCTCTGTCATCTGTCCCCATCCACCCTGTGCCTTCCCAGCTGGTGGGCTCTACCTCCTGGGCTCCAGATGTCCCCATTCTCCCCTTATCTGGCCTGGCTGGCAGCTGGCCTTCCAGGTGTTTGGGGTGCTTCCAAACCCAGAGCACTTCGGGCTTCAGGGACAGGCTCTTATCAGCTGCAGACAGAGTGGGGTAGCGCTAACAGAGCAGGGCCAACAGGCAACAACCTGGGCCTTGGGGTACCCTTCAAGGCTCAGCTGGACTCCAGGCCCCTTCTCATCTCTGGATCCCTGGCTATGCCATGCTGTCCTTCAGGAGAAGCAAGGCTTCAGTCCCAGCCCCACAGCGGGATTTTTGGTACCTCAGGATCTAGGGCCCAGCCAGAAAGCAGATCCTGTGAGCAGGTCCAGAGAAGGAAAAGAGAAAAATTAAAATAAAATAGAGGAACTGGGTGGGGGCTTTTGGGAGAGGAAGATGGGAAAGACAGAGAGAGGAGACAGGGAAACGGTGTATGGCCGGGCTGCCGAGGTGCAAAGCCCCCCCTTGCAGAGAGTTGTCCGTTCTTGGACTTGAGAACACTATATGACTGTCACTTGCCGCTTCCGAGGACTTGACAATGCCTCTCCCTCTCAGAACCTCAGGACTGTCCAGGACCCAGAAAGTTCTCTGTGTGGGTCTTTCTAAACGTATGCCCTGCCCTAGGGTCTTGTATGGCCCCTTGAGGGACTGCATGGCTCTCCATCTACCCCTCTGCCCTCCCCTCCTCTACCCTTCCATCTTCTGCTCACCTGCCTTTCACTCACGGCCCCCTGCTCGCTGTACTCTGCTCCTGTGTCCTCCCCACTCCCCGTCTCTGTCCCAGCCTACGCCTTCACTGTTCTCACACCTAGGCTGGGCCTCTTTACTTAGCTCTTGAGACCCCTCCTGAGGTCCCTGTACTTGAGTCCTACTCTTCCTCCTGGGACATCCTCTGCAGCATCCAACACAAGTGGCCTCCTAAATTCCATCCATGTAGGAACCACTTAGGCCATCTTAAGAGCAAGGGCACGCTCAGCTGAGCCTCTCGTGCTCAGCCAAGCGGCTGCATCCGGTGACCCCACCCAAATGCTGGTCACCCCAATGTTCTAGGTGGCAGTGAGTGAGAAAGGAAGCCCCTCCACACCCAGACTGGCACATTCGATGACCCGTCCCCACATTCTGCGTGGGTCCACCTTTGTCTTGAGAAAATGGAGGCCGAGGTTCTGTGGGGACTCCATGAGGACTGAAATGTGCAGAGACTTTACATTCAAGTGTCTTCCTTTCCAAAGGATGTGTCGTGCAATTCATTGTACGCAAATCAACCAAGAAACCATGCCCAACTAGGTCAGGGCCTGGCAGGGTGGTTAAGGGCCTGTGAAAGGGTGATATTGGAACTGAGATAAGAGAAAGGCTGTTGACAGAAGGAGCGTCTAGGGGTGAGCAATGCATGTGCAAAGGCCCTGGGGTACGCAAGGCCTGGGTAACTTCTAGGAACTGGAAAGAAGCCAACAGATCAGGGATAAAACAAGCCAGAGACGTAGGGTTCAAATGGAGAGGAGGAAGCAGGCTCACGTCCTTCAGGACCTGTTGTCCAGGCAGAAGCAGCCATTTCTAGGAAAAGAGAATCTATTATAGAGACTCTCAGGGGAGCCAAGCCCCCTAAGGAAGGGATAGGTTATGTCCTGGGAATTAGCTGAGTCTTTGGGACTCAGAAAGAAGTTAGGTAAGGCCTGGTGGATGCAGGATGGAGCTAGACATCATCCACTCGACCACTTGTATCAAGTACACCGAGGAGAAGGCGGCCATACTGATATCTCCTGTCTCTCAGCCCACGTACCCACACACCTACAAACGCAGTGTCTTCCTCCATGCCCTCTGCCTCCATCTGACCCATCTCATGTCCCCAGGGCTCTCCTGGTACTAAAAGTCAGCTCCCTTAGGGGGACCCAGAAGCAGCAGGAGGCCAATTGAGGGTGAGTGACGTGACTATGCCTCTTTTAGCCTGCACCCCTCTTCCAGGGACCTGATGTGCGGGTTATGCTGGGGGCTCAGATAGCCGGGGACGACTGTACACTGAGGACAGCATCATGGGGGACATGCAGGTAAGTGTCTCTTGATCCATGCAGGGCTCCTGCCTTGGGCCCTGGAAACCAACCTAGGCTGGTCCTCAGGGGACTTGGGGAGCCACTTAACCCAGCCTTGATGGCCTCTTCCCACAGGACCATGAGGAAGTTCTGGCGATCCCAGATCAGGATAGCGATGATGAACTGGAGCATGAGATAGAACAGATAGCGTATCAAGATTCAGACATCCATGTGGTCCAGATGCAGGAGCCAGAAGGTGAGACCTATCCCTTGCCTTCTGCTTCTACCAGAGGAGCCACTGGGTCCCCCTAGGGACAGTAGGGACCCGGTCCTTCCTGTCTCCACCGCCCCAGCCCTGGGGCCAGTTCTCCCCGCAATCCTGGCTGATTGAAGGATAAACAATGTTTTGTTTGAAATGATCACAGGAGGTGATTGTGGGGCTGGGCCCCTTCCACATGTGACAGGGCAGCCAGGTATGTCTGGGACAAGGGCACAAACCCAGCTGCTACCCTGTCTGTCCCATATCAGCATGGAGGCCAAGCAGCTGTGCTGTTGCTGGAACTTCATTACGTCTAGATAGCTGGGGACTCTGAGAAATGGGAGACAATTGTGGGGACTCCCTGAACAGAGACCCCAGGAGTCCATACCACCTTCCTTGGCTTGCCCAAGGTCTTAGGTGGGGAGCCTGAGGCGGGACCTGTTTACTGTCAACAGGGCTTAAGTACAAGTGATTGGATTTGAAGTTAAGAGGCCCCCTTGGGAAATGAGGGGAATATAAGGGGCTCACCCACCCGATCTGTGGGTGTGTGGTAAGAGGCTACCAGCTGGCGGGTTAGCTAAGCAGGTGGGAAGAGGCAAAGAAGTCTGGTCCCAGACAGGGCAGGGGAGGGAGGGGATGGTTTTGAACATTGCGACTTGAGACTCTCCCTATCCTTACCGAGGAGGGGTCAGGGTAGAGGCTCAGATCACCACAATGAATTCAGGGTTCCTCAATAAGGTTCAGATGGAGAGTGTCAGATCCAAGCTGGGCCCAGAACAGGTGGATGTGGGGTTGGGCAGGGGTCCCAGCCCAGGACCAGTGGAGGGAGTGGGTCTGGGTTCCTGAGGTTCCCTGAAGGTAGTACAGCAGGGCCTGAGTGAGGGGTCATGTCACAGACAACGCTAACTGGCCCTGGGTTTTCAGCTCTTCCCACAGAGCAGATAGCCACAGACTACATCCCCACCAGTACCTCCACATCGCACCCAAGCTCCAGTCAGGTGAGGACCCAGACTCCATCCTCTTCTCAAGTTGCCTTGAGATTCATTATGTACCATAGGAAGGGACAGAGAGAGAATCGGGCTGGAGGAGACTCCCCCTGCCCCAAGCAGATTGGAGGGAGCATCCTAGGACATCAGTTGAAGGGAAAGGGTTATACGTACCAACAGAGAAATGGGCTCTTTCTGAATTCCTTGGACAGACTGTTTTCTTACTGCTGAGGACTAAGCCAGGGCTTTCAGGCCCGGCTGGGTTAGATACTCACTGGGGACATACAGAATTAAGTGTTTACTCTCCTCTGCCCCAGCACCGGAGTCCCCACTTAGCACCAGACTGCCTAGCTGGTTAGGAAATTGGGTCCCTAAACTGTGACCCTGAGAGTAACCACCTGGCCCAGGACAGTATGAGTCATGTCCCTCAATACTCTTAGAGACAGGAGACTGACCCAATGGCTTCCCAAGCCCCTTCAGCCTCGGTCACCGGGCCCCAGTTTTCTGACCAAGAGGCTGTTGAGGCCCCTCTTGGTCCAGAGGTTCATGCCTCTTCTGAAATATGGTAATGGCTTGCTGAGGAGGATAGAACATGGAGCCAGGGGGTGGGTCAGACCCACAGGACCCTTGCACATCTCCCCATGCTCTGAGCAGGAGATCTGTCCTGATCCTTCCAGGGCCCAGTGCCTTTTGGAAGCCTAGTTTAGAGCTGAGTGCCCTCAGGACCCAAGCTTCCAGTCTCCCCATGGGCTTGCCCATGCTCGATGGACTAACCTGGGCCGTGGGCCTCAGGTCTATGTGGAGCTGCAGGAGCTGAAGATGGACCAGAGGAACCAGGAACTACAGTGGGTGGAGGCAGCACACTGGATAGGGCTAGAAGAAAACTTACGAGAGGACGGGGTGTGGGGCCGTCCACATCTGTCTTACCTCACCTTCTGGAGCCTTCTAGAACTGCAGAAAGTCTTTTCAAAAGGTAAGTCCTGCCGGGCCCTCCGTGGCTGCTGCGTAGGAGGTTTGCTCTGGCAGCACTGGGCAGCCACTCAGCCCACCCCTCCACTGCCTACAGGCACCGTCCTCCTGGATCTGGCAGAGACATCCCTGGCTGGGGTGGCCAATCAGCTTCTAGACGGCTTCATCTACGAGGACCAGATTCGACCTCAGGACCGAGACGAGCTGCTCCGGGCGCTACTACTCAAACGCAGGTGCTCTGCCTGTCAAGACCCGGGCTTCACATCCCACGGGCTCCTCCCAGCCCTCTACCCCAAGGTCTCCCTAACCTCCCTCAGCTCCAAATGGACCCCAGCCCAGCAGGCAAGGGACTGCTCTTCCTCCCCCATAGCTCCCACATCTGTCTGACATCCCCAAATGCAGACTAGAACTTCAAGTTTACACTTACAGAACATGGACTCAAGAGCCTTCATTCCATCCATTTTCTCCCTCCCACCTAGACGTCTGAGACAGGGACCACCTACTTTCATCCACACTGTCCTTTAAGAGGAGACTCTGATTTTTCCTCCTCTAGGGTCTCTCTAGTTTGGTCACTGGGAAATTCCACTGGATGTTCACTTTTGTCCCTCCCACACTGGTCTCCCTTTTATGGAAAATTCAGTCCAAATAGCTCACTCAGCCCATGTCACCTGTATGTGTACCTGCAGCCACGCTGAGGACCTAAAGGCTCTGGAGGGAGTGAAGCCCGCCATCCTGACCCGCTCTGGGGGCCCTTCTGAGCCCCTCCTTGCCCAGCAGCCATCACTGGAGACCACGCTGTACTGTGGACAGGTGAGGCTAGGACGAGGTTGGGAGGGAGAAGGGTTGGGAGAGGCAAAGGCTAGATGCTCAGGTCTCTCAGTTTCAGTGTGACCCCAGGACCCCCTTCTTCACCTTCCTTCCCACAGGCAGAGGGGGACCCAGAAGGACTCTCGCCATCCGGGACTCTGAAGATCCCCCCAGATTCAGAAGCCGCACTGGTGCTAGTGGGTAAGAGCCCTTCCCCTCCACGTACCCCGCTTCAGGCCCTGGGCAGCCCCTTTCTTGGATTCATACACTGAGTCCCCCGGAGGTCTGACTTCACCACCTGGTGCCTCCCACAGGCGCTACTAATTTTCTGGAGAGGCCTGTGCTGGGCTTCGTGAGGCTGAAGGAGGCTGTGCGGCTGGAGGACCTGGAGCGGCCGGAGCCTGTGCGCTTCCTTTTAGTTCTGCTGGGCCCCGAGGCTCCCCATGTTGACTACACCCAGCTGGGCAGAGCTGCAGCTACACTCATGACCGAAAGAGTAAGCAGGGGCCACGTGGCTGGTTAGCCAGGGAGCTAGTGGAAGGGCAGAAGACGTCAAGTTCTCCCCCATGGACTAGCCTGGGTGACTTTAAATTCACTGTTTGGATCCATTGGGTTGAACTCCTCCTGTTCCCGGCCTGGCCGGGTCCAGTCTTAATCCTGGCTTGCATTGGACGGACTGGTCCAGTCTAGTCCAGTCAGGACCACTGTGACCTGGTTCTAGCTGGCCCAACTTGCTGTGTGGTGTACCTAGCCCACCAGGGATTCTTTAGCTCATCTTCTCCCACCCAGGGTGCCTGTCTCCCTAAAGCTGGCCCTCAGAGGTCAGAGGGAGTCGAAAGAACCAGACCCTGTAATGACAGCCATGGTTTTGGTGAACCAGACCCTATAATGACAGCCATGGTTTTGGTGGCTGGTCCCTGGCTATACATGTCCAGCCTTCAAGTTTTTTGAGACAAAGGTCTCACCATGTAGCTCTGGCTGGCCTGGCGCTCACTATGTAGCCCAGGCTGGCCTCAAACTTAAGGCAGTCCTCCTATCTCTACCTCCTGCGTGTTTAGACTACAGGCTGGCATCACTTGGTTGCTCTGCTCCCCGGGGGTCTCTTGTCTACAGTCCTAGTATTCCTGACGCTCTCTCCTGCACACAGGTGTTCCGCACAACCGCCTACCTGGCACAGAGCCGAGGGGAGCTGCTGAGCTCCCTGGAGAACTTCCTGGACTGTAGCCTGGTCCTGCCACCCACCGACGCCCCTTCAGAGCAAGCTCTGCTCAACCTGGTGCCCGTGCAGAAGCAGCTGCTTAGAAGGCGCTACCTGCCCAGTCTCCCCAAGCCAGACCCTGCCTTGTACAAGATCCTAGGTACCTGTTCTGCCCTTGACAGGGCTTCCTGATTCCCCATAGACCCCTGGCCCCCTGGCACAGTGCCCCTGTCCTATCAAACACCCCCTAGCATCTGTTCCTGTGGTCAGGCTTCCCTGTCACCCTGACCATTCCTGTTAGCCCCTCTGACCATGTCCCTGTCTTCTGCAACAGACTTGAACGGGGACCCAGGGAGCCCCGGTGGCGTAGATGATCCTCTACAGCGCACAGGCCGGATCTTTGGAGGCCTGATTCGTGACATCCGGCGCCGTTATCCATACTATCTGAGTGACATCACAGATGCGCTCAGCCCCCAGGTCCTGGCTGCCGTCATCTTCATCTACTTTGCCGCCCTGTCGCCCGCCGTCACCTTTGGTGGCCTCCTGGGTCAGTGACAGTTATGGTCCCCGAAAAACTCACCCCTGACCCTCTGACCTCTGCCTTCTCGCCTCTGACCCAATCTGATGCTCTGTATGCATACATCATGTCCCACAACTTACTCTCACGGTCCTTGGCAATAATCTCACCATCTTGACCCTCGTATGGCTTTTTCCCACAGGAGAAAAAACCCGGAACCTGATGGGAGTGTCAGAGCTGCTCATCTCCACAGCAGTGCAAGGCATTCTCTTTGCTCTCCTGGGGGCGCAGCCCCTGCTGGTGCTTGGCTTCTCGGGACCCCTGCTGGTGTTTGAGGAAGCCTTCTTCTCGGTAGCCCTGTCCCAGCCCCACTCTGTCCCCAGCCCTGTAGCTGACCCTAGCTCACCTGCCTGGTGCCCACAAGGTGACTGAGCCTACCTTAGTCTGATCAGAACTCCTCTGTCTGACTACCTGCAGTTCTGTGAAAGCAATAACCTGGAGTACATCGTGGGCCGCGCGTGGATCGGTTTCTGGCTCATTCTGTTGGTGCTGCTGGTGGTGGCCTTTGAAGGCAGCTTCCTGGTCCGATTCATCTCCCGCTACACCCAGGAGATCTTCTCCTTCCTCATCTCCCTCATCTTCATCTATGAGACTTTCTCCAAGCTGATCAAGGTGGGGCCCGGGAGAATGCTAACACTCACACATAGCATGTGTGTGAGAGGGTGTTACCATGTATGTGCCTGTACAGCATGTCTGTAGCCATGTTTCCACCCGTATGCACAACCATGGCACAACCATGATCATGGACACATGCATGTTTCTGGGTTCACTTAGGACTGTGCAGTTGGGTTGCTCTGGACCCTGTAAAGGCTGGTGACTCAGTGCTCATGCTATGACTGGGCAGGGGGACTGTATAAAGGAAGGTTTTCGTATGTAAACTTGTCCATGTCCATGACCACACATCATGTGACACAGTGGACACTATGTATGTGTGTAGCAGCCTGGGAAACCATGTGTAGTGAGACAGTGGATGCTTAGGATGCTCTAGACCTTTCCTCTCCTGCTCTTGACCTCCATAACCCCACAGGGCCTCTGCCACGTTAGCTTGTCCCTCCCCCAAAAGCTCTGCCTACCTCCAGCTTGGTGGTGGTGGTGGTGGTGGCAGCGGCAGCGGCGCACACCTTTAATCCTAGCACTCAAAGGCAGAGGCAGGAGGATCTCTGAGTTCAAGGCCAACCTGGTCTACAGAGTGAGTTCTAGGACAGCCAGGAACCCTGACTTGAAAAACGGGAAAAAAAAAAAAAAAAAAAAAAGGTGATCTATTTATTTACTTATCATGCTGGGGATCAAACCTCCTCCATGCTAGGCAAATGCTGTCACTGTCACCAACTCCTTAAGCCCTTTTTTTGTTTGTTTGTTTGTTTTTTGTTTTTTGGAGCTGAGGACCGAACCCAGGGCCTTGTGCTTGCTAGGCAAGCGCTCTACCATTGAGCTAAATCCCCAACTCCTGTAAGCCCTTTTTGTAAATCTTTTTATTACTTACTGTTGCCTCCCAGCCTTCTCATAGTTCAAACAAAGCCTGGACGCATATACCTATACATGCTTATTGCTCCTTTGACCCTTCCCACACATCTAACTTGTTCTTCATTCATAAGAAACCAAGCTGGTTAATATGTCAGATGAGAAAGAAGGTGGCCAGAGGGATGGATGCATGCACGGGTGGATGGATGGTGGGTGGGTGATGGATGTACGGGCAGTAGATGGGCAGATGGATGTCTGGATGTATAGATGGATGTAAAGACAGATGGATGATTCAGTGCCCAGTCAACTTATCTGATACTGTTTAGTTCAAGCCAAGACTTTGGAGGGAATCCAGTGCTTTGTGTTTCTGTTATAGATTTTCCAGGACTACCCGCTGCAACAGAGTTATGCCCCTGTTTCGATGAAGCCCAAACCTCTGGGTCCCGTGCCTAACACAGCCCTCTTCTCCCTGGTGCTCATGGCTGGTACCTTCTTACTTGCCATGATGCTGCGAAAGTTCAAGAACAGCACCTACTTCCCTGGCAAGGTCAGTGCACCCCTATCCTTCACCAACCCCAAGCTTCTCCAGTACCCTCGGCTCCCCTTCCTTCCCCAGCTCCCCATTCCCAATACCAGGGCTCAGCGGCCCTCTTCTGACGCGGGGTTCATGTGGCAGCCAAAGCCATCTCTGCTCAGCACCAAGATCCAGCAGGGAGCCAGGGACAGACAGTTCTTGGGAGAGGGACGAAGGGTGGGGTCAGGGCAGGACAGCGGCAGAGGAAGAAGGAAGACAGGGGTGGTTGCAGTATAGACAGTCATTAGTTCCTGGTGGACCCCTCGGGTTGAGCAGACTCCCTGGTAAACATGGGATGGGAAGGAAAGTGGGTAGGAGGCAGGTTACAGACACAACTGGTTCCTTCATCTGCCCACAGCTGCGCAGAGTCATTGGGGACTTCGGGGTCCCCATCTCCATCCTGATAATGGTCGTGGTGGATTCCTTTGTCAAGGACACCTACACCCAGGTGACTCCTCCTCATCCTCTGCCATGCCAACCTAACCTTCATTCCCTTCCCTTCCCCATGCCCTGCCAAAATGGCTTTTCCTAACCCAAAGCCAGCTAGAACTCTTTTCCCCGTCCTTGCTCTTCCAATATTCCCTCAGGACCTCTCTAGCCCAAGCCACATTGCACTTCTTATTCCTTTGCCCAGGGCAGTAGCAGAGAGTGTGCTTTAAGCCAGGTAGACCTGGGTAAACCTCAGCTCAGCCACCAGCTATTTGTGTGGCGTGGGGCTAACTATACAACCTCTCTGCTCCCGTTTCCTCCTCTGTAACATTGAGAATGAGAAGATACATGTGAAGGGCTTAGAGAAGTAGCTAGCAACAGAGTAAATATTCAACCCAACTCCCTGCCCCAGGCCCTTGCTTTCCCAGCCCCCATCTTTCCCAATCTGCCTGGCCCCACATTCTCACCAACTGTCTCCCTCACAGAAACTGTCGGTGCCTGACGGCCTCAAAGTATCCAATTCCACTGCCCGGGGCTGGGTCATCCACCCTCTGGGTCTGTACAACAAGTTTCCCTACTGGATGATGTTCGCTTCTGCCCTGCCTGCTCTGCTGGTCTTCATCCTCATATTCCTTGAGTCTCAGATCACCACGTAAGAGCAAGGACAGAGGCTTGGCCAGGGAGGGCTGGAGGCAGGGAGGGGAGCAGGCTCTGGGCCAACAGGAGATTGGCCAGTGGCCCTCTGCTAGCTGATGGGAGTGATGGAACAGCAGAGGCAAGTCTGAATTTTGTGGCCTCTGGGGTGGCATCATTTGAAGACCATGTAAACAGGGAGCTATGAGATGAACTGCTGGAAGGTGGGAGGAGCCTGAACAGGCAAGGTTCCCGACTTGGACAAGAATGCCTAAGGGTGTTCTGAAGACTTCTAGACCTCTAGAGTCTGGATTCTCAAACAGCCAGAGGGAGGGAGCCAGGGACTCAAAGGGGAATGGAACAGAAATCAAAAAGGCTCAGAGGGACACCAGTGTGGGGAAGAAAAGAGGGGCCTATGAGGGCCCGGCTTACCAGACCTCCTTCCGCCCCCAGGCTGATCGTCAGCAAACCAGAGCGCAAGATGATCAAGGGCTCCGGCTTCCATCTGGACCTCCTGCTGGTCGTTGGCATGGGTGGGGTGGCCGCCATTTTTGGGATGCCTTGGCTCAGTGCCACCACTGTGCGTTCTGTTACCCACGCTAATGCCCTCACAGTCATGGGCAAGGCCAGCGGTCCCGGGGCTGCAGCTCAGGTCCAAGAGGTCAAGGAGCAGCGGATCAGTGGGCTCCTGGTCTCTGTACTTGTAGGTAAGTGAGGCTGGCCATGCCCCTGCCACCCTGCTCCACTCCCTCCTAGTCCTTCTTAGGATTGGGGGACTCTTCCCACTTAGGGAACCCCACCTCCACCATCCTGCCCTGCCCAATCCTGACTCCTTCTCTTGGGATTAAGGACAAAGCTCCCATCCCGTCTACTCTGTATCCAGGTCCCTACACAACAGTTTCCCAACACCCCCGCCACCTCCCAGCGCTAGTTACTCACAGGAGGGGATCTAGCAGATCGAGGAAGCACAGGGCCCTGGGACACTGTGATGGGCATTTGTGCAGAGCAGGAGAACTGCACTGCTGAGCTTTTCCAGATCAGACCCTGCCTCCACCCCTGCCTCCACCCCGCCTCCACCTCTGCCTCCACCCCTGCCTCCACCCCGCCTCCACCTCTGCCTCCACAACTGCAGCCAACAAAAATGTAATAGACTGTGGGGTTTTGTCCTTCCTTCCCTGCTGCTGGCTGGGTAATTTCCATGGCCTCTGGGCCTCAGTTTCCCTATCTGCACAGTTAGAGGATTTACTAAACCCCTGAAATTCTTCTCCAGATCAGTTGCTCTCGGGCTGACCCCATGCACAGCTCAGTCTAGGGAAAGGCAGAGAGTCTCTGGGCTCCATAGGGGTTCTAGGGAAGCTGAACCCAGCAGGATGAGCAGCGGTATAGTCACGGATGGAGCGATCAAAGTTCCCCTTTCCTCCCCTCCCCTTTTCTTCCCATCTGTAGAGGATGATGGAGGCTTTCTGGGGTGAGGAGAAAGGCAGGTTCCTCTGACCGCTGTGACTGTCCCCATTAGGCTCAGGGAGTGGGTGTAAGGCAGGCAGGCAGGCAGGCAGGCAGGCAGGCAGGCAGGAGTTTGACTCCTTGGAAATTGTTCACCCCTGAGCCTATAAAGCCTTAGAAGTTGTTCACCTCCGAGCCTATAAACAGCTATTGCAGAAAAGGGTCACTTGGCACCTGTGGTTTCATGGTCAGTCCCAAATACAAGCTAAGCCCTGTTGGTGCTGGTCCTTGGGTGACCTGAACTAAGAGTGTGTCCCCTCCACACAGGACTGTCCATCCTTATGGAGCCTATCTTGTCCCGCATCCCCCTGGCGGTGCTGTTCGGCATCTTCCTGTACATGGGAGTCACGTCCCTCAGTGGCATCCAGCTCTTTGATCGCATCTTGCTGTTGTTCAAGCCACCCAAGTACCACCCCGACGTGCCCTTTGTCAAGAGGGTATGTGACTTTGAAGCTGTCCGGCCAGGGTAGGGCAGGGGTGTCAGAACAGGACAGACACTGACCTCAGCTTCCCCGCAGGTGAGGACCTGGCGCATGCACCTGTTCACGGGCATCCAGATCATCTGCCTGGCAGCGCTGTGGGTGGTGAAGTCCACCCCTGCCTCACTGGCCCTACCCTTTGTCCTCATCCTCACTGTGCCTCTGCGTCGCTTCCTGCTGCCATGCATCTTCAGTAGGCTGGAACTCCAGTGTGTGAGTAGTGGGGACCCCGGGTGGGAGGCAGGGGAGCCAGAGGGACAGCAGGGTGATAGCAGTGGGTTTAGGGATAGAGATGTAGCAGTTGGTAGAAAGCTTACCTCCCGGGCACGGAATCCTGGGTTCAATTCCCAGCACCACATAAACTGTATGTGGAGGCACGTGCCTATAATCCCAGCACTAGGGAGGTAGAGGCCAGGGAATCAGAAATTCTAGGTCATCCTTGGCCACACAGTTCAAAGCCAGCCTGAGTTACATAAGATGGCATCTTAAGAAAGAAAGAAAGAAAGAAAGAAAGAAAGAAAGAAAGAAAGAAAGAAAGAAAGAAAGAGAGTCTGTGTCCAGAGCCTCTGTCTCAGTCTCGGTCTGCTGTGTCTCTGTCTCAGTACATGATCTGGAGCAAGTGGCCTCATTTCTCTGTGCCTCACCATATTACAGGGAGGAATAATGACAGTGAAAGCGTTATGAGGTGCGTGCACAGGGTGTGTTCCGCACGAGCTGATGAGCAGACAGCCCCTCCATCTTATTATCATAACGTCCCGCCGGAGTTATTAGGGACATTTAGTGTGGGGCTGGGGCTGCCATGGTGAGGGGATCCTCTGCCCACCTCTTGCAGCTCCTCCTCACCAGACCCCCAGAGGCCACTTGCCCTCTGTAAACCACTCATCTAGTCCAATCCTATGCTGTAGGGACAGCACAAGGCTGGCTCAGGCTGCTTCCTAACTCCAGATGTGCCTCTGAGGTCCCAGAAAGGTCTCTCACCCTCTCTCCCTCCAACCCCTCTAGCTGGATGGTGATGACGCCAAAGTGAGCTTTGACGAGGAGGAAGGTCTGGACGAATATGACGAAGTGCCCATGCCTGTGTGAGGGGCAGGCCCGGGCCCCCAACCATTCCACTTCCCCACCCTCCCAGGAAGAGCATTCACGGGCATCTCACGGCTGTGGGTGGGGGAGGCAGGGTTGTCTAGGAAACACTCTACCTAAGGTACAATGCATTTTCTGGCTGAAGATGACCAGAAGCCATATCAGGGAACTGGGGTTACAGTCTCTTGAGACCATGCTGGAAAAGTTAGGTCTGAGTCTCCTCCCTTCATGGCACAGTTATAAATAGCAAAGGGGAGAGATGGAGGACAGTTTTCAAGTTCCTGTTGGCTGTGTGGCCTCATATAAGTCCCTTGACCTCTCTGGCCTCTGCTTCCTACTCTATAAAACAGAGGCATTGATAATAATACCCATGGTCTTATCAATAGACCACATGGTCTCTGAGGACCAATGGTAAATGTGAAAGGGCCAGTCAACGGCAGTTATCATTTTCTGAGCCTGCCCGAGGTCCCACAGCTCCTGGGCTGTACAGCGGGACTTGAGCCATGGCCTCCTGACCCGGAGGGCGTAGCTCTGTCCTCCATCTTCCACGAATCCTCTTTCCCTGCTCAAAAATACCCCTGATGACTTCTCACTTCCCTTCTCTGTCCCAGCCCCACCCCGAGACCCTCTTCTCTACACCCAGAGAGGTATCCTGGTGAGAGTAAGGTCCAGGTGAGGGACTGGGTCTCAGACTCAGAAGTGCTTGCTCTCTCCCACCAGACACTCATTCATTCACTCATTCATTCATTCATCCATTCATTCACTCCATAGCCACCTCCTAAAAGCTCTGGACCTAGTGGACACAGAGGGGACTGCGTCAAGCCCCTACTTCGGAGTGGGGCCAATACACAAGTCTGCTCTGGATTTGGATGGGGATGGAGGGAAGATGGGAGGATTGTAATTTATTAACCGTATTTTCTAAGTGCTTCCTCTGTGCCTTGGTTTTGTCTATGCACCCAGCCACCGTGAGAGATCTGCCGTGTCCAACCCCAACTAAACTGAATCTCAGGGGAAACCCAAAGTTTGACCTGTTGGAGTAGGAGACGGTGGCTTGCTCAGGACATGGATAACAATTTATTTTTTTTTTACAAAACAAAAATATTTAAAAAAAAAAAAAAAAAAAGAGTTGAAAGAACCTGAGTGAACAGGCGGCAGGAGGCCCCCACCGGAAGAGTCTCAGGGGTCTCTGAAAGCACACAGCCGCCCCCAGCACATCACCACGCTTGAGTCCTCAGCAGTGAACGCGTATAAGAATGGTACCTACCTTGTAGGGGGGCTGGGGGGACTGACTGACATTGTGTAAGGAAAGCACTTGTTGAGCGCAGAGCCCGCCTTGGGGGAGGGGGGGCTGCTGGTGCGACTGCTCTGACGTCACACCCCGTCCCCTCCTGCCTTGCCTTGCTCCTGGAACATTGCCAAAGACAGTGGGGATTGCACTGCCCACTCTGCCCTTCCCCGCCTGCTTGGGAATAGGTTTTGCCAATAAATATGTCTGTGTTAAAGGGGTGCCTTGCTTGAAGTCCTGTCTCAGAGTTGGGGTGCCCCAGGGGTCTTGACTGGGCCCAGTGGATGACGGCATTAGGTGGAACTCGTGTAGGGCTTCAGCCATTCGGGACCACTAGAGTCATGCTAGGCGTGGCCCTCAGCATGGGGAGGGGCAGTTCCTCTAGGGTGGGTGCTGAATTCGGAGATGAATTTGCTCCCTCTGTACAACCTTCACCTTCTGAGTAAGCAAGACCTGACTGGCAGGGTGGGGGAGCGCCTGTCGGATGGCCTTGCCCTTTGCACTGGTAGCTCCCCCAAGTCTCTTGAAATCCGTCAGCTCCGTATCCTAGATCTGAAAGCTGGATGGAGCCTTTGAGAGCAATCACGGAAGAACGAGGACAGGAGAGGAAGTTAGCTTTCCAGACGCTGCCATGAGAGCAGCCTCTCCCCTCCTCCCTCATCTTCTCATCCCAGAACAACATCTTTTGACCATTAGCCTTCTCTCCGATCCCCTTTAAAGTCTCTCCCCCTGCTTCCTGCAGTTCTAGGGTGCTCTAGGCCAGAGTGTCCCCCACCCCGGAAAGGAGGATGCAGGCTTCCAAGACCTCCCCACCCTCCTCAGACCTCAGGAGGAGGTCAATGTTGGGCAGAGTCTCCCAGCTTCCTTCCCTGGGCTGTGTTTACCTGCTGACTACCCCCAGCTGACCCCTCCCAGGCTGGCTGGGGCAAAAGGCCTGGATGCTAATTGGGATCCAAGGAGAGCCATCCCAAAGCCTGCTCTCGATTCACACCAGCTGCACATCCCCCCCCCAGGGTTAGGCCTGTCCCCAAGGCTTGTCTTTTCCTCACCTCCCCCACCCCCCACCTTCCAGTCTCAGAGACTGAGACAGGCCGTGCAGGTCTGAAGCCGGGCACCACCCAGCAGCAATCAGGGCTTGGACTTCCTGCGGGGCCTATTCTTTCACATCCTTCCACTCTCCTGAGGGAGGAACCAACCAGATTTAGGAAAGGAAGGCCACCTTGACTTGGAGAAGTTCCTGCCCTTCAAAGCTTACATCCCTCTCCTTTTTTTTTTTGCTTTTTAATTTTCACTTTTGAGACTGGGTTTCTTATAGCCCCAAGCTGGCCTCAAACTTACTGTCTAGCTCAGGACAATCTCAAACTCCTGAATCCCCCTGCCTCTGAGCACTGGGATTACAGATGGATGAGTCCCATCAAAACTGGCTTTTAGGCCCAGCAGTGGCGGCGCACGCCTTTAACCCCAGCAGCACTCGGGAGGCAGAGCCAGGCGGATCTCTGTGAGTTCGAGGCCAGCCTGGGCTACAGAGCGAGATCCAGGACAGGCACCAAAACTACACAGAGAAACCCTGTCTCAAAAAACAAAACAAAGCCGGGCGGTGGTGGCGCACGCCTTTAATCCCAGCACTCGGGAGGCAGAGCCAAGCGGATCTCTGTGAGTTCGAGGCCAGCCTGGACTACCAAGTGAGTTCCAGGAAAGGCGCAAAGCTACACAGAGAAACCCTGTCTCGAAAAACCAAAAAAAAAAAAAAAAAACAAAACAAAACTGGCTTTCAGCTGGGTGGTGGTGGTGCATATCTTTAATTCTAGCACTTGTGAGTTCGAGGCCAGCCTGGTCTACAGAGTGAGTTCCAGGACAGCCAGGACTGTTTCACAGAGAAACCTTGTCTCTGAAACAAACAAACAAACAAACAAACAAACAAACAAAACCCGTTTTTTGTCTTAGTGCTGGGGACAGTCCCCACAACCTAGTGTGTGTCGGGCAAGTCTGGTTCCACTGAGTCACTGTCCTGGTCCACCCTCTCTAATGTTTGTTTGTTTGGTTTTGGTTTTTCAAGACAGGGTTTCTCGGTGTTGCTAGGCTGGCCTTGAACTCGGAGAGTCACCTGCCTCCGCGATGAACCAGCCTGCCTCCATCTTAGGCTTGATGGTTATCTTATAGTAAAGACAAACTAGGTTCATTCCTGTTTGTGATTAAACCTCTGTTTCTCAAGGACTGGACTATGTCCCACCTGTAACCTAACTACACATGGTTCTGTACTGCCTGTTCCAGGAATGCCAGTCATGTCTGGTGTCGTCCCCTCCCCCACCTCCCCCAGAGCTGAGGACTGAACCTGGGGCCTTGCGCTTGCTAGGCAAGCGCTCTACCACTGAGCTAAATCCCCAACCCTGGCAGTCATGTCTTTGTTTCAAAAAGTTACTAACCATTTTGCAACCCTACCTTTGTTCAAAAGGGTTGTTTTGGCTACCTTGTTATGACCACCTTGCAATCACGTCTTTGTTTCAGGAGGTCATTATGACTAACTTGCTATGCTTATGTTCTGCTCCTATACCCCCACCTCTTTTGTCTGCCAAATCCCCCATTTGGAAAGCCCCTACCTTGGAGGGGCTTTGTTTCCCTCACATCCAGTGCTGACCTCTGGAAGCCCACTGTAGGGGGAGGTAGCCTATGTACATGAATAAAAAAGCTTGCTTTAATTAATTTGGCCAGGATAATTTGGATCCCTGGTCTTTCTCTTCCTGTCTTTGAGATTAGCCTCTGCCTCCTGAGTGCTGGGATTAAAGGCATGTGCCATCCTTTCCTGCTACCTCTCCAGTTTTTAATCTCTGTTGTGAGACCAGTCCTGGGGAGTGTGAGGCTAGGACAGTGGCTTAGAGCACCACTACTCACAGGATGGGACTCAAGCCCCAAGCTGACAAAGCAGTCCCTGCTTTTCAGCCAGATCCCAGGTGTTTGTGGGTCTGACCCAGAGCAGCCAGATCCCAGGTGTTTGTGGGTCTGACCCAGAGGAGACATTTAGCTGTAAAAAAAAAAAAAAAAAGGAGGAATCCAGGAGGGCGGAAGCATGGGGTCTCAGCCCTACCCCCCTCACCTAGCAGACATTCTGAGGAGTTAAACTTTTTACCAACCTTTCCTGAAAGCAGATGGGGTGCTTGTAATGGGGTGTATTGTCAAATTGGAAGACGCTGGGTCACAGCCAGTCTAGTCCCTCTTCTACCTTGAACCTCAAATACAATCAGATACTAGAAAACCTCCTTCTGGGCCTGAAATGATGGCTCAGTGGTTAAGAGCACCAACTGCTCTACCAGAGGACCCAGGTTCAATTCCCAGCACCCACACGGCAGCTAATAACTGTCTGTAACTCCAAGATCTGACACCCTTACACAGACATACATGTAGGTAAAACTCCAATGCATATAAAATAAAGATCAATAAATTATTTTTTTTAAAAGAAAGAAAACCTCTTTCTTTTATTTATTTATTTATTTGTTTGCTTGTTTGTTTATTTTGCGATTTTTCGAGACAGAGTTTCTCTGTGTAACAGCTCTGGTTATCCTGGAACTCGCTTTGTAGATCAGGCTGGCCTCAAACTCTTTTTGCAGGTACACACACAAAGGAGAATGTTGAAAGTCTTCCTCTATCTCTTTTTGCCATACTCCTTTGAGACAGGGTCTCTCCCTGAACCTGAAGTTCACCATTTTGACTAGGCTGGCTGGCCACCAGTCCCTGGGGTCCTCCTGTCTGTGTCTCCCAACCTGGGTTTACAGGCCATGCCTGGCTTTTAATATGCTGTGTGGTGCACATTTGAACACAGGTCCCCAGGCTTGCATGGCAAGTGCTTTTACCCATGAGCCGTCTCCCTAGCTCCGCACCTTGGTTTTTGTTTTGTTTGAGACAGGGTTTCTGTGTGTGGTTTTGGTGCCTGTCCTGGATCTCACTCTCTAGACCAGGCTGGCCTCGAACTCACAGAGATCCACCTCTGCCTCCTGGAGTGTTGGGATTAAAGGCGTGTGCCACTACCACGGGCGATAATTGTTCTTATTGTATATAATTTTACTGTACTGGAGTTAAAACTTTTCTTTTTTATTTAGACAAAAAGGGGGAAGCGTGGGATATTTGTACACTGCCTGAAAAATGTATTGCTGTGATTGATATTATAAAAAGCTGAATGACCAATAGCTAGGCAGGAGGGATAGGCGGGACTGTAGATATAATTCTAAATGGTCTTATTAAATAAGAAACACAGAGCCAAATAAAGAGTTAAAAGCCCAGAGATCGAGCAGTAGCCAAGAGCTAAGACCACCTTATCTTACCACTTGCTACCATCCTTCCCCTGAGAGACCTTCTTCCTTTGTCCTGTCTTCTTATTGCCTTTCTATTCTGCCTTCTCATTGGTTCTAAACCCAACCACATGACTTCCTTGTTACTGTCTGTCTATACAGACCTCCAGGTCTCTATGGTTCGTACTGAGATTAAAGGTTCAGGTCACGTTTAACTGTGTCCTTGAACACACAGAGATTCTGCCTGCCATGTGATCGGATTAAGGGCGTATGCCACCACTGACAGACTTCTGCTAAATGGCTTGCTCTTAGCTCTGATCTCCAGGCAACTTTATTAACATACAAATAAAATCACATTTCAGTACAAATAAAATATCACCATATTTCCCCCTTCTATTCTAAAAAAGGAAAAAAGTTATAACTAATATATGAAAAACTATATACAATAAGTACAATAACTATATACAATATATATATAAGCAATAAATACCTAAACAATGTCTAGTCTGTTTGCATTTGAA